GCAGCTCACACCAGGAGCTCACTGGCTTCGACAAGCACTTCCAGTCCTGTCGTCCTGACAATACCTCCCTCGTCGACTGCTCCGGCCGTGGCACGTGCGCCTGCGGTCAATGCGAATGCGAGGAGCGGGAGAATCCGGACGAGGTATTTCCTGAATTCTCTAGCAGATAAATTCTTGTATGACAGACATTTTTTCTTTAACCTTTTTGTTTGAGTCTCCATCGATTAGTATGACCGTCTTTAACCTTTGCATCTATAATTGCAAAATTTATTTATTAATTTTTAATATCTTATTAATTATCATCTCAAGTAACAATAGTTACACACAGCGGAAGATATATAAGAAATGCATAAGAAAATGCAAAGAAAAGACAGGTATAATTAGAAGTGAAACAAAATGGAATAGATAAATGTAATTAACAATATTCACGTGCAGAATATTTGCGATATAGATTTATATTCTTACAGATAATATCGGGACATTTCTGCGAGTGCGACAATTTCTCTTGTGATCGTGATCAAGGTAAGCTCTGCTCTGATCATGGCACTTGCGAATGCGGTCAGTGTGTCTGTAATTCTGGCTGGACCGGACCATCCTGCAACTGTAGGTCTTCTAACGATTCCTGCATCGCGCCAGGGACCACGAACGGTGTGCTCTGCTCAGGTCATGTAAGTGATTGAAAGTATATGACGACAGAAAACTACAGTTACTATTTAATTCTTCTTTTTTGATATAATTTTAGTTACAGTAAAATATAATAATTATATTTACACATTATTTTAATAATTAAAGAAGAGGATATTTAGTTATAAATTTAGAAATATTACCAAAATATTAAGAGATTTATCATAAGATCTCATCTCTTTCTTTATAAAGGGTGACTGTATTTGCGGAGAATGCATCTGTCATGAGGAAGGCAGCATTCGGTATTCCGGTAAACACTGCAATAAGTGCCCGACCTGCCCAAGTCGCTGTGAAGAGCTGAAGCCCTGTGTACAGTGTCAGATGTACGGCACCGGAAACTACAGCGTTCCAGAGGAATGCGCGAGGAATTGCAAGGAATTTGTACCTGAGGGAGTCGAGACAGTGATCGTCGATGTGGACAACGACGAGGTGCCATGCTTCGGTACGGACGAGGATGACTGCAAATATAACTTTGTCTACTACTACAATGAGACCAATTGCCTGCAAGTGCGCGCTCAGAACGAGCGTGAGTGCCCGCCGCAGGTCTACATGCTCGGCATCGTGCTGGGCGTGATCGCGGCGGTGGTCTTGATCGGTCTCGCATTGCTACTGCTGTGGAAGCTGCTGACAACTATACACGATAGACGAGAATTCGCCCGATTTGAAAAGGAGAGAATGATGGCGAAATGGGACACGGTTCGTACTTCTAATATTATAAACCATAATCAGATCGAGCTTTTAAGAATTAAACTTCTCAAATCAATTTTTACCAAGAATAGAAGGAAATCTTGAATACCAGGATGAGTTTGTAATTATTTTTTTGAAAAAGTATAATTAAAAAATTAAAAGACATTAAAGGACTCGTAATGCAATAAAATATAAAAAATGGAGTAAAATATATAATTTAATAAAAAAATAATATAATGAGATTAATTATCAAAATCTCAAGTACTACTTTTTTTTGTAAGATTTATTCTGTACAAATTAGTATAAAATATTCGTTTTGCTCGCTTTATAGGGAGAGAATCCAATCTATAAGCAAGCGACTTCCACCTTCAAGAATCCGACCTACGCCGGGAAATAAACGCGTCTCGAAATGAAAAAAAGGATAACGTGAGGTTTTAAAAAAAGAATCGTATCGTCACTGTGACGGAATGCGATTTCAAATAATTTGCAAATAATCGCGAATGCCAATCGCATGCAATTCGGCATTCTGTTTCGAAACTTAGCAAGAGTTTGAACGAAAATTTCAAACGGCATAACAAAATCTAAAGCTAACGTTTTAGCGTATATAATTATTTAAAGGAACTAATATTTAAATATATATATATATATATAGATATATATACGGTATGCTCTATTTTTTGTTGAGATATTTGTAAAGAACGACTTAATACTGCCATATAACATAGACTGCATTTCGGATGCATGCGCGTGTGAAACGCGCTAATTGTTTACGAAGTCGTAATTTTATCGCGATCATGTTTTAAGAACCACGCTAGTTAGGCTAATTCCGAAACTCAAGTGCCTTTAACGTCAGTATCATAGTGCGCTTGCATTAACTCCTGGTTTTTTTTTAACTTTTTTTACAATATTATTTATATAACAATGTATGGGATGTTAGTTGATATATGAGATATAATTTAGAGATGAATTCAGAATCCGTGTAGAACCAAGAGAGAAATCTATACATGGATCTACTTCGCTTTGTTGTATCAGCTATTTAGATGCATTATATACAAATTTGCTATTTCTGTGGTGCAATAAATTTCCGGTGTCACTTTCAAGATAAAGAAAAGCGCTTGGCAAATATTGGAAAGCGGCAAACTACTAGAATTTCGAATGCTACGTAATGTTTTTTTTTTTTTTAGAAGAGCGAACTGTGGAATGACTCATAAAATGCTACGAACGTCGTTCTTAGTCAGCAAAATTATGCAAATACGAAACTAAGCATTCGTAACCATTTCGAGGCAATCAGTTTCAGATGCAAAAGTAGTTGTAATTTCGAGATAAAGCGAAATAGGTCGTATATAAATTTTTTATTTATTCTTCATCGTTAGTTCAATTCATAATATATATCGCATATATTAAATTATATCTCGTACGTTATGTTTCCTATACATGGAAAAAAAACATTGTTTCTTTGGCTAGAAACGAATCTCGAAAGTTTTACACTATTTTTTTACACTATTTACCAGTGCAATCTGTAATATATACTAAAGATACTTCACGCAGCGAAATTCGACGAATTTGCATTTACCTGTGAACTTTATATCCTGTAATGTAATTGTTTTAATCGTTAGAGTATATTTTTGCGCAACTAAGGAGACTCGAAAGTGTTTATAGGAAATTGTATAAATGTATAAAGTACTGCCCAACCCGAGTAGAAATAAGTTTACTCCGTGTTATAACGTTAGCTCGATGATGATAACTGCATGATTATGTGACTCGCGTATTATTTCGTAAAAATATATATAAATACATATGATGCGCCTTAATTAAATGTCAATTCTTTATGGGGAAAAGAATCTAGAAGTGCAAAAAAAAATATCGGATAAAATTTTATTAATCAAACACTAAATTAAAGAAAATCTTATGAATTCCTTACATTTTCGTTGTAATTTTTCGAAAGCGAGTAAAAAGAATTGAGATATTTCTATAAATTTATATATATTTTTCTATAAATTTAACTCCAATTGTTGAAAGACTCGAGTTTCAACTCTCGTTTAATTTCTTTTTGAAAAAGAAACTATTGTAATGAAAGACGGACACTTTTTCAATAAAGCCTGAATGATTGACATGAAGTGTTTCTCTCAAACTGCAAATTCCCCTAAGGAAATTGACATACAATTAAGGATTGTTACCCCCCGTACGTCACGTAGTCAGTCGTAATCCGTTACGATATTTCTAACGTAGAGGAGTACACCGAGAATTTTCCGGAATACGTAAAGTATAAATAATTCTGAAAGTAAACAGTTACATGTGTGACAGCTGAATTATTTATTTCAGTCTTCTCTCTTTTCGTGAATCTCATGAAGGAGTCAGATTGATCCGGAAGGATTAGGGGCGCAGAAGTGGCTTTTTCTTCATTGTGCCACGAAAAAGAGACTAATAACAATAGACGCGGTAGACGCGAAATATCGAGTTCGCCGCGCGATCGTTATGTACACATTTATCGTGTTGTTTGTCTAAACTGTTTTATTCTTTCTTTTTTTATGATGTTTTGATGGCTAATTTTACAGTATCGCTAACCGCGTCCTCGCGACATTAATCGCGTTTTTTCTTTTATATACATACATATATTGTATAACTCCAACGAGAATTAATTATAATCGATGTTACTCCACGTGCGATAGTTCGCAAGACTCTTTAGATGATATGTAAAATCCTGTGCGAGGACTAATAAAGACGATGTGTTAGTAAAACACCGTCGTTTTCTAATTTGGCCCAGGTAGCTCTTAAGATAGGCCTGTTCTTTTTCCATACCCTAGAATTGAACTTCTTGCACAGTTCATCTTTTATCTTTTTCTCTCCAATGTGAAAAAAAGAAGAGAGATGAACTGTGCAAGAAGTTCAATCCTAGGATATGGAAAAAGAACAGGCTTGTAATTTCATGACTTTTGTATTCTATCTGAGTGAGCTCTGGAAACTACCAGGGGATGTCGCGGATCATCGTGTCAGCTAGAATGGCAGGAAGGTACGAAAAATTGATTTATGTGACTAAATTAATACAAGAATATTGAACAACGTCATATGGTGGCCGTGTGTATTCAACATTGCAACAAGAGCGTGAAGAATACGAAGAAAGAAAGGGAAAGAGAGAACATGGATTATCTCTCCTACATGCTCTATCTGTTCTTATGTTTCGGTCAATTGTCCGTCGTGAGTCTCCTTATGATGTCCCGATTCCATATATTGATGAAAGGACTTTCTTTACTTGCTATTCTTACATGGGAATACATGAGAATGTATCGATATCGATATACATATCGTGAAAATTAATTGTAGCAGTGGATCAATCATTTTTCAATGAGAAAGTTTTTATTTGAATTCACAATTTCAATAAAATTTTTGTCAGTTACATTGTTAGTAATTACTAGTATATAGTGTCAAAAAAAACTTTTTATTATAAAATAGTATTGTAATAATTTTGTTTTACTTATGTAGAAATTAATATTAAAAAATATAGAAATATTAATATTAATCTAAATATTAATTAATATTAATATTAACGTTTTATGTGATTACTTCTATCAAAATACATTTTACTTTTTTAAATAGAATCACAGCTTGTAATCACCATAAGTTTTTTTCGCTTCATTTGTAAAAGTACTTCTCGTATGTTCATCCAACTCTTTAAAACTAAATGTTGATCACATCTGTACTGTTTTCTATGAAGAATTTGAAACAATATTCCTGCACTATCTGAAAATTATGCGGGGAGAATACATATAAATATTATTAAAATACAGCGTTCATTTATATTGAAGATATAAATAAGGAATAAAGATACATTTCTGCAGTTAATGAATTCTAAAGCAATACTAAAAATAGAAAAATTGTTCAACGATATTTTCGGAACTAATCTCCAATCTTGCCAAATCTCCTAACTCATAAATGACAAAGAATTTGAAAAATATTCTACATTAAAAACAAAAATAAAAACAAATTGCAATTGAACTAAATACTAATACATCAATTTCATTATAGAATATAGATCATGATACTTTCTTCCAGAAAAGATAGAAAGTAATAGAAAAAAAAAGGAAAATTCGAAACTGCCAATTACCTTGTTATCATACGTTTGCGCTGTTCTATAAACAGAGATTATATTTTCTTTAGTTACTTCTTTCTTTATTTTCTCATAGCAACTTTTTAGTAAACGAATGTCTTTGAACTTCTCAGCCATTAATAAGAGATCTGCAATGAAATTATTTTAGTCGCGAACTTTAAACAACAACATATAATTGTATGTATTTAACTGAAATTCACCAAATTTCTTGTCCAAAAATACAAGATCAATCTCGCCGGTATATATATATTTAAAATAGGTGTAAACCGTGACATACGAAAACTGATCGAGCCTGATAACGCTGTAAGCAGGACACGAATCAAATATAAAATATTCGTAATAAGAATAACATTTATTTTCACAATACTCACTCTTGACCGTCTTCGGACGTTATAAATCGGTCTACCTCTTTGAAATATGAAGAATGCGTTTGTAATACAAACTTATTGACATAGATAGATCGCAATCCGACTTTTATGACAAGATCGGTGGGAATCTGCATCAGAGGCATAAAAAAAAACACGTGTGAGATAACGAATGTTAAATGAAGTTTATTACATATATATATACATTTTTTTTTTAATATGCTGAAAATCTATAAAGAGGCTAAAGGAAAGAATAGAATAATTTAATTAATTTCGATGTAAAAAAACGCAGACTTTCTTGAATGACTTGCCCAGAGCTTCTATTAATCAAGCTACCAGTTACTGAGAATTTCAAAAGTATTCTGAATTACTTAAGAATTTAAAAACATAAGTACTACAATCCCAATTGATAGTCGGAAATATCCATTAAAAATAAAAATATACTTAGACAGGTGAGACAAACTTACAGAATTATCAAATGTGTCATGTAATTGTTTACACTCTACATTCATGGCCCGAGATGAATTAGCACGCTGCGCGTAAAGCCGCGGCCGCGCATTAGATCTTATTGCGATTAGTCTGTTCATATTTTTAAACAAAAGACACTTGTTTCGCAGCTTATCCGCCATAGTTCAGATTTGGCCCGTCAAATTGTGTAGTCATGTATTCGCAGCCTTCTTCTTCTTCTTTTATAAAGCCTTGTGTCCACGATGCTAGAAATCGGTCCGAGATCTCCGACAGAGAAAAAATTAACAAATCACATTTGAACAATTTGATCACCTGACCATTGCGATTAGTCAATTCTTTCTTCATCCAAGATCTCGGACCGATTTCTAGCATCGTGGACACAAGGCTTAAAGCGGGGAGCACAGACTCTTGCATAACGCATAATACATGAGGCATAAGAAATTGAACCAACCAGAGTTCTCTATTACATGGAAGGGAAAGAAACGGAGAACTTCGATTGGTACATATTCTTATGCATTACGTATTATGCGTTATGCAAGAGTCTGTGCTCCTCGCTTAACACTTGCTTTCGAGTGAAGGTCAATTTGGCCAATCTTGTGGATGTAGATGAACAAAAGAGACGTTATGCTAAAGAACGGAGAGTCGATATGTTTTTTAGTTTAATTTAGAACGTTTCGTAGAGGGGGTGATCCCGATTGACCACGTCTCGATTGGACACCACCAATTACAGCGACCGGTGCTTAGGAGCTTTGTAGTCTCAAGCGCTGTGAGTGGCTCGTATCTAACTGAGCCGTGTCCAACTGGGTGCCACCCGCTCCTAAGCATCGGTCGCTGTGATTGGTGGTGTCCAATCGAGACGTGGTCAATCGGGATCCCCCGAGTAGATCATCACGCACATGCCAACAATTGTACAATAATGGTGCTTGTATTACTCCGGATCTACAATAGGTTTTTAAGCCATAAGGAATGGACGAATCACAATCAATTATTCTCCTCGTATTCGACTGTAGTTGGTCAATTTCTTATGGCTTAAATCTTAAAACACCTATTGTAGATCCGGATTGAGACCGGTATTCATAGTCGGTTCTTATTTTAAAGCGCGGAGCACAGAGACTCTTGCATAACGCATAACACGTAATGCATAAGAATATATGTACCAATCGAAGTTCTCCGTTTCTTTCCCTTCTATGTAATAGAGAACTCTGGTTGGTTCAATTTCTTATGCCTCATGTGTTATGCGTTATGCAAGAGTCTGTGCTCCCCGCTTAAGGGCCATTCCACACAAACTTGCAGAGCCACATAACCATATGCATAAAGAAAATTATCCAATCACATTTCTGTCATAAAGCCAAGCGTAAACTACGATTGGATGATTTTCTTTATGCATTGTTTATGCGGCTATGCAAGTTTGTGTGGAATGGCCCTAAGACTGTCTTAAGTAATGTCTTAAGTCGCTAATGCGGCCCTCTGATTGATTCATGACATCTTAAGACTGTACTTAAGACGGTCTTAAATATAAGATCTGACTATGAATACCGACCTTAGTCGGCTGTTAATAATTCTACACCCATGGGCAAAGTAAAGCCAGCGGCACACGATGCTTGTTTTCTTACTGGATTGCTAGCTGAATTAGATTCTTGCCACCGTATTGGCTGCGATGTTGGCACTGTCAGCATCGCAGCCAATACCATGGCAAGAATCTAATCCAGCTAGCAATCCAGTAAGAAAACAAGCATCGTGTGCTGCTGGCTTAAGTTGCCGATTCTAAACTATAAGGCCGGAATCAGACTATGCATTGAAGAATGAGATTGAAGATTGAAAGATTGAAGCTTGACCAATTAGAACAAAAGGAGCCAAAATTTCTTTGTCCTTATTGGTGAAATTTTAATCTACAATCTCAGTCTTCAATGCATAAGCGGGGAGCACAGACTCTTGCATAACGCATAATACATGAGGCATAAGAAATTGAACCAACCAGAGTTCTCTATTACATGGAAGGGAAAGAAACGGAGAACTTCGATTGGTACATATTCTTATGCATTACGTATTATGCGTTAGTCCGGATCTACAATAGGTGTTTTATGCCTTATGCCGTAAGAAACTGACCAATTACAGTCGAATCCGAGAAGAATAAGCGACTGTGAT